AATTAGCTGGGCATGGTGGCACATGCCTATAGTCCCAGCTACTTCTTGGGAGGCTACGGTGGGAAGATCACCTGAGCTCAGAAGGTCAAGGATGCAATGAGCCATGATTGCACCAGAACACTTCAGCCTGGGCAACAGAGTGAGACCCCATCTCAAAAAAAGAAAAGGAGAATTACAAGACACAGAATGTAAAAAAAAGTATTTGTGAAATGCATTTCTGATAAAGGAGTTGTGTGTTAGAACATATGAAGATGGCCGGGCACAGTGGCTCACGCCTGTAATCCCAGCACTTTGGGAGGCCAAGGTGGGCGGATCACGAGGTCAAGAGATCAAGACATCAAGACCATCCTGGCCAACTTGGTGAAACCCGGTCTCTACTAAAAGTACAAAAAATTAGCCAGGCATGGTGGTGCATGCCTGTAGTCCCAGCTACTCAGGAGGCTGAGGCAGGAGAATTGCTTGAAACGGGAAAACAGAAGTTGCAGTGAGCCGGGATCACGCCACTGCACTCCAGCCTGGCGATTGAGCTAGACTCTGTCTCACAAAAAAAAAGAAAGAAAATAGAATATATGAAGACTTCTCAATAACAAAGGATAAACTACTGATACACAAAAACTGTAATCGCAAAATAATTATGCTGTATCATAGTCATCAACATACTGCATGATTCCTTTTATATAATATTCTAAGAAATGCAAACGAATGCATAGTGGTATCACAATTATCATAATTATCAACATATGTATGATTCCTTTTATATACTATTCTAAGAAATGCAAACTAGTCTAGTTTAAGCGTAATTCTCGGTTGCACTGGCATGCGATGGCCGCAGTGAAGTTGGGAGGAGGAATTAGAGACGAGAAACGGTTTGGAGGGAGACGGACATGTTCATTATCTCAGTTGTGGCAGTGGTTTCGTGGGCATACACATGTCAAAATTTATCAAATTTTACACTTTACGTGTGGTTTAGTGTAAGTTAATGGGGAACCTAGTTCTCCAGTTCTTCACCTTCCACTTCTCAAGGTTGTAATCTACACATCCATAATTCAGGCACCAAGGGAACACTCGATTACAAGGACAAAGAAAGAAAGGTAGCAAACAA